TTCATAAACCACTCAAAAAAGTTAACAAGTTGTTAGTGTACTTATTTTTTAAAATCTTTTTTATTTATCATTTTTCGAGTTTTTCTAGCTCATCGATTTTTTTTTATCTTTCCTTATACATTTTGCCATTGTTCGCTATTTAAAAAAAATTTGTTTGAAGTAATAGTTGTTAAATTTTTTAAAAAATTTTTAATACACTAAACTGAAACTTGGTACGTTTGCCAAATAAAATCGTATTATTTCTTTCTCAATTTACAATCTATCTCTTTCTACAATATTTACAGTAACGTATTATTGAGAATACATTTTTTATCTCTTTCTTCTTTTTTTTGCTGTCTTCACTTTTGTTTACACATTGCAATATATTGCATATTTTTCTGTTTTTTTTTTCTCGTTTACCTTGTAAAATTACCATTTCTTTTTTTTCATTATTTATGCATACAATACATTGTTTTTACTAAGGCATTAGTTATGGCAAGTATTTTAAAAATTTATGGTTTCCGGACACATGCTTGAAATATTTTCTGCTTTTTTTTGCATATTTGTCTTGAATTAAGGAAAATGATTTATTTAAAACCTACCAAACTATCTTTCACCCACAATTTTTATCTCTTGTCGTCTTATAACTACAGTGACTTGATAAACTTGATAACCAAATAAACTAAAAAAAAGGCCCCATTTGATGTGAATTCAAAACACTTTAGAACTAAAAATTTCAGACTGCATGCAGATGATTTTTCGCTTCAATGTCGCAAAGTTATGCACGGCAGTCGAAACATATTTTCTTCATTATTTTTCACAAAACAGACATTCCAACGTAGGCGGACAAACACTTTCTTTCCTAGAAAAAAAAAAAAAAAATTAAGTACTGAACTTATGCCAACTTCCACACAATACAGAGAGTATTGTTGCGTCTCTCACAGTTCTACGTCTTTCCTTTCAAGTGTACAGCGATAGTGAATATTTCACGCGCTCTGCCGTCTCCATATCTCTTTGCGTTTTCTTTGTCCCTTTTTATTTATTTATAGGAGCATCAAACGTTATACGCTCGCAAAAGCGTTCCTCTCTCGCGGCGTAGGCGCGTGATTATGAATTATTGCATGCACATTTTTTTTTTTTTTTTTTTACTTTACTTTCGCAAATGAGTTTCAACTAGTTTTTCGGATCGTAAAAGTTTTCGAAGGATATAATTTTATTTCAACCATGAATTTACTTTAGTAAAAAAATTTTAATGTTTCAAAATCCGAGTGAATAAATAAATTCAAGTACAAAGGCATTTCACAGATCGGTGAGCGCGAGCCACCGGAAGCGAAGCACAATCAAATACTGCGCGTTAACTTTTCGAGTCAACGATAATGAGATGGCAATGTCGTAGGAATAATGCATTTGCGGAAAAAAAAAAAAAAATCATTCGGAAACGCATTCAGGGTGGACAAAACAATCGAATTAATGGGCCTTGGGTTGGGTGCATGTGCTGATTTGGATAAGCTGAAAACCATGCATTATTTGTCTTTGTTCCGTATATACTCTTCGAGCTGGAACGAAAAAAAATACCCTATAATGTGATTGCACATTTGTTTTCAGTGAGTCCATGGGTGATAATTTTTTTTCTCCCCTCATTCAAAGCCACTCAAAGCTATTTATTTTCAAGTGGGATCATTCATTAACAAAATCATACATGATATATATTTTCTATAATTTAATATTTATTGATAACATAACATGGTGTATAAATGATTTATAGTAAAATAATTTGTTTCGATATAGGTAAAATACAATTAGGAACTTAGTGTAACGTTCCACTAATTTTTCTGTATCTGTAGTATTATCAGTATTGTTAGGATGACTTACAAAATAAAAATTATACGTAGCAATGAAACGCGTATAGTCGAATATTTTCAATGCCTTTTGTTTCATTACTTTTTATCGACCTCTTCTATTTGATAAAACCATAAATCATATACTGCAACGTTTGTGTATGTTAAAACTTAAATGCTAACTTTTTTTTTTTTTTTGATGATCATACGATACGCCTACAAGTTCTTAATAAAACATTGAAAATATCTTAACAATATGCGTAACCATAAATTTATAAATTTATAAATAAAAATCGAAGATGTAGCGAAGAGAATGAAAAATAAAAAAAAAAAAAAAATACGTGATAATAATTCGCATCGATCTTTCGATTATAACAATTGCTCATTTTCTAATTTCGTACAAGTTTTCTTTTATATATTTATACGCTACAATGAAAAAGTCGAGGCCTATCTAAATCTACAGACGTAAATGCATATTCACGCGCTTACACCTCGCCTATATTTGAGAGCCGCGAATCATCATACGTGTGCGCTTCTTTTTATTTAATTTTTTCTCTGAGCCTCAATAATTTTTTCTTTTATTTAGTGTGTTTTTGTTTATGGATGTGGTATGTGCGGCTCCGCTCGTACTTTGTATGTTCGTCTCGTAGAAAATTGACACTAGGGTGATTACATTATAAGGCGTGCTACACCAGATTTTTTTCTCTTCCGTTTATTATAGATGCAAAAAACAAAAATTTTATACCAGAAATTATTTTTTGCACGACACTCCTAGCAGATGTTAAAAATGTGATCATTGAAATAAAAATTTTTTAATCAAAACGCGTAGTGTTTACTGTTGTTTAATTAATTTTCTCAAAAGTAATACTTTATAGAAAATATTTTGTTATTTATTTATTTAGTTTTTACTTTGTGCTTTACAAAATAAATTTAAAAAAAAGGTGAGTTGACATTGTAAAATAAAAAAAAAAGATTACAAAAAAGGCAAACTTTGTGCAAAGATTTTTTTCTAATTAACAAGCTCAGCTCCTCAATATCACGCATAATATGAATGTATATAGATATATGTAAAACGCAAGCTCGCGACACAATCAACTGTGAAATTTTTATTTTTCAATATTCGCGCTATGTCCTTGAAACCGGAAACGGATCAAGTTGAAAACGTGAAACTGACTCTCGGACGTCTTTTTTTTTTATCTACCATATCTCTGATTTTTTTCTAATTCGTGTTTGGAGATAAACGCGAGTGTGCACTATAAAATTGTTCGCATATTTTTTTTGAATGGTGCCAGAAAATCTGTAAATATTTAGTTTATTCAAAGCGTCCAGAACTTTTTTGAAACATATTGGTGCAAGTGTTTTTATTCTTCGCATTATATCGTCAGATGTATACGTTTATCGTTTGACAATATAAAATAACTTTCCTGATATGCAAAGTTTTTTTTTTATGAACTTTTTATTAGTCTTGACTTTCCTAAAGAGTGAAAGCTCATTTATTAATAATATTTTGTGTACACGTGTCACGGAACTGTCGCTTTTCTTGAATTTTATTTTCGTTTCTTTTTCAGCAGCTAGAGTATAAGAAAAATAAAATAAAAAATAATTGCATCTAACTTTTTCCAAAAATGAAATACAACTAAAGGACAGTTGAATTAAAATTTGTGTCCGAAAAATATTTTGGAACTTCAATATAGCAAAAAAATCTCTCCATATAATGTAACTTTGTCTGGTTTTCCAAAATGTTATGCCAAGTTTAAAAAAAAACCATTTCCGGTTCTTGGACTGTAGAACATTCGCGCACTAAACTCATTCAATGCTCGTAACTATAGAAAAATTACTTGTACCTTTCATCATTCTCTTATACGGCCGATTTATCTTATTTTTATAGCATTTACACGCGAATACTTGCATGCGTATACCTTATGATTTCGCTACGCGTTTTGTTTTTGTTTCATTTTTTTATTTATTTTTTTTTTAAGTAGAAATGGATACAAGNATCATTTGGTTACTTTTTTCGGCAATTCGCATTATTATTATTTATTTTTTCCTCGTAATCGATACAGTACGTCGATTATAAGAAGATTAATATTTAATTGGGATTCTATTCTGTAGCAGTAACGTCTCTATTTTTTTCTTACGTGTGTTTTCGAGCTAGTTCTCATTTCATCAGTTTTTTTTTAAATTATTTTTTTTTTCTTTTTATTTTTCATTACTTGTGTATTAATATTTTTTTTTTTTCTGTAGATTATAAACTCCAGTCAAAATAGCAGCAGAATAGTAATAGTACGGTTTTTGCTTGATTTATATTTTGTATTCATTTGTTTATTTATTTTCATTACTTAATAGTTAACGCGTTTTTTCTCACCGTCGAATATTTCAAGGCGAATTCAAGGTTGGCGAAAAATCAAGGCATAAGACTATCACTTTTTCTTTTACAAAAACAGAAAAATAAGTATTATATTCAATTATTTCATTTTTTTTAAATTACTTCTCTTGTGTTCGTGTATGTTTACATGTGTATGAGTTTTTTTCTCATTACGCGTGCAAATTTTTTAAAACTTTTATTTTTTCCGTTGCAGGATTTATTTACATTATTATATGCAAGTAACATGTTTATCGTATGAATCCACCGCATGCCAGAAATGAAGAAAGCAGTCTCGCGCTCTTTTCCCTTTCCTCTATTTATTCAAACATTCGTCAACCATCTCTTACAGGAAAATAATAATTTTATTTTCAAAAATATCTTTAAACAGTGGAAGGAAAGTAAAAAGTTTATTCTACAATAGTGACTATTATTTACGCGAAATAAGTTATTTTTTTGTAAACGCAATCAACTCGTTATATACGTAATTATCAACCCTAGAGAGATGATGGCTATTTTAATTTGTCACTCTCTGCAATAACTTATTATTAAATAATAATAATCTATGACAACGACTTTTGATAAAATCCTTCACGTATTTATCCGGTAAAAACTCATCTGTTTTTTTTTTTTTCAACTATATAATATATCAATTTTATCATCCTTGTAATAATGTATTTATATTTATCTATATGACTTTCCTAATCATTTTTTTCTGTTTTTTATAATCATTACAATTGTAATAGAGTAACAATAGTGATTCATAATATTTATAGTATTTATAGTATTTATATCTTCATCATTTTTCTATTTATTTTATAATACACGTTGCATTCGTTCGATTTGTATATAAAGATCCACTCGTGTGCTTTTTTTCTCTTTTCTTTTGTGTACTTTTTTTGTTCTCATTATTTTTCAATTCCATTTTTTTTCTCATCCCGCTATCTCGGAAACCCCAAAGATCACTCAACAATGTAACACGGTCTTTGGGCTCGGAGTGTCGTCGCGTATAACCTTTGCATTTCAATTTTTTAATCTGCGCAACTTGATTTTTAATTTTATCTGCCTTTTTGCTTGTAAAAGACGGTCTTGCAGATTCCAATTAATTTCTTAATTTTTGTTAGTAATTCGACTACATGTGTGTTCACAATTGACATTCGTACGTTTACTAAGACTTAGGATTTATCTACAAAAATTCTTAGTGAGAAAGCACCATTGAACACACTATCCTAAATTTTAAGGGAATGTGAAATAAGTGATTTATTTATCATCATTGAAACAATATACGTGCTTTCGATCGTCGCAATAAATGGTAAAAAAATAATTAGTTTGTTCGATTCAATTAAAAAATATTCATTGTATTTATAATAAAATGATTTCACATTCCCATAACTCGGTATTAGCACGTGATGTTATCATGAACTTAAAAACGTATAAAGATCTATTATGGTTAAAATATAATTCGACAGATCTATTAGAAAAATGTTCCTCTTAATTCCTAAAATATAAAAATATACTCCTAGAATATTTGAGAACGAAAGTTTTTCTTTTTTCTCTTGTTTTTGTTTTACAAATATCAATTGCAAACAAAACCTGACTTTTTACCCACTCACACGACTTAACAATTCAAAACTCGTAGCTCTACCAACATTCAACGTCCATCTGTTTATTGCATCGTAATCTAGCCTATACATATCCTTTTTTGTTTTGCTCATACAGTCATTTATACAGAATTTATGCATCGAAACATTAGATCCTCGAGAGTAAAAGTTGAAAATTAAAAAACTACGTGTTCCTCTTCTGGTTGGCCGAAAAATTTTCTAAGGATTACTTTTCTTACTAAATTTTCATACTTATACTCTCGCTCTCTCTGCTACCTTAGTAATTTTTGTTTATTTTGCTTCACTATTCTATGGCGTCGATTTCATTATATTAATAATATACGCATAGAAAATCGTGCTTCGATAACTTTTTCCCCTAAAGGTTTTGTTTTCCTCTCATTTAATACTTTAGCTAATAACAGACAACGTAACATCTTCTTCTTTTTCTTCTTTTTTTCCCCCCCTTCATTTGTTTGTTCACCAACGCCAGCGCACACTCGCACGTTTTCTTCTATTTATTTATTTTTTTCTTCTATAATAATAATTAATATTTTGCTTTTTGTTTCTTTTGTTTAATAGGCCTCTGCTCTCTTTCACCATTTGACGTGCGTGAATTTGTTTTTTACATCGGTCGCATAAAATAGTCCTACGCTTTTTTTTTTTTTTTTTTTTTTTTGTTTTTTCGTTTTTGTTTGCTTTCGCGGATTTAAAGGGTCCTCCAAAGAGTCTTCGTGTCTCTCTCTCTCTCTCTTCATCCCTCCCACTCGTCGTTACTTTATAGCACTTGATCGGTTTCAGCTGTACCGCCGCGCGCACACTTTCAATACACATTTACATATATTCATCCGAAGAAACAAACCAAAGACGCGACTCGCGCACTTGCCGAAACATAACTTTTTGGCGATTCGTCGACTTTCGATTACTTTTTCTCGCACAGTCCAGCGGCCCGTCATCCCTCCTTTCTCCTCACCATGCACTTGAGGTACACACGCACTTTCGTATATTTTGTTACAATGCCAACTTTTGCTGGAGAAACGTCCACGGAACTCCTTGAGGCGATTTTTGTCACTTTATCGATCCATTCGTCGATGCAAAACGCAGGGGGAGGGGGAGATAAAAGTCAACAGCGGAAGGGAATCGTCCAAGGATGATCACTACGTGGGGTTGACAGGAAAGAAGTTGGTAACGACTCCGGGAGTCCCGTACCGCTCGTGTGGGGGGTGGTCTAGCCATTAGTACCGCTGCGAGGGCTAGTAGTAGGAGTGCCGTCATTGATACGTGTCCTTGTGGAAGGTGTCACTCTTGTGGAATATCGTGCGGCCCTCGCGCGTCAGCTCCTGGCTGGTGAAGTTGTTCTCGGACTTTGGCCTTGGCAGCAGACTTCCCGGCAGCGACCTCAATTCCATGCTATGGACCTGCGAGGTTTTTCGGGGAGACAACAGAAAAACATTCATTTGTCAGTTACTCGTGGTCGTTTGAGAGAGGGGAATACAAAAAAAAAAAAAAAAAAAAAATTTATTTACTCATTCATTTTTGTACAAGGGGTCAGGAGTGTTTGGTTGTTATAATACAGTTATTGGATTGTTATAGATTCTTTGAAAAAATGATACGTACGCAATCCATTCAATATAATTCTGTAAAAGAATTTTTATCATCCTAAGTGTTCAATTCGTCCAGTTCATTTTAGATTTTATTTTATTGTTTCATTTTGATTTTTTCTATTCTACTCGATTTTTGTTAGTCATGAATGAGCTAAAATATATCTATCGTTGTGTTAGTCACGAAGGTGAGTCGCTAATAAAGCTGTGCCATCTTTGACGAAAACAAGGACAATAAATGTCTTCTCACTACGATATCTAATGATCTACTGTATATTATGTTTTTTTTTTTTTTTTTTTTTTACTTATGTACGTGTATATTTGTATATCAAATGAGCCCGCAAAAACAGCGACACAACTTTCTCTCGCTCTATTTCGATCTGTCTCAATCGTTTGGTTAGTATTTTTTTATTTATTTTTTTTATTTCACATTTTTTACATTTCATTCGCGTGTCTCATCGATAAACATGAAAACTCCCTTAAATCGCTACCATGTAATGGCTATGTTTCGGAATTGACTATTTTATTCTCTTCCTTGTCATTATTATTATTATATCACCATCATCTTTCTCACGATAAACAAGATTTGAGGTAAACTTAAAAATTGTCTTTCTTCATTTCGTGATCACTTTTTCTCCGCCTCCGAGCCATGTTTTTGTTTAAAATGGACTAGAATAGGTTATAAAACTACGCGTTTTTTTTGTTATTTTTTGTTTGAAAACTTCATTATTGTTCTATTATTTATTCACGATTTTTCATTTAATTCAAGTTGTGAATTTCGTTTCTCTCACGATTTTCAATCATTTGCGATTCTAATTTTTATTAATTTAATTTTTATTTATAATATATATAT